TAAAAAAATATTTTTGAGAAAAAATTGAAAGTATCAATTTTTTTTAAAATAAAATTTTCATATTTTTGAGAAAAAGTTGAAAGTATCAATTTTTCTTGAAAATAAATTTTTTAAAAAATATATTTTTGAAGAAAAGTTGAAAGTATTAATTTTTGTTGAAAATAAAAATTTCTAAAAGTATTTTTGAGAAAAAGTTGAAAGTATCAATTTTTCTTGAAAGAAAAATTTCCAAAAAAAAAAACATTTTTAAGGAAAAGTTGAAAGTATCAATTTTTCTTGTATAAAAGCATGAGTTTTTTTTCTTATAAAGCAAAAAAAGAAGAAGATTTATATTGAATGTCAATCATCATTCCTTTCTCATTTTATTTTTTCTTGGATTTTTTTATGTTAAATAATTCAACGATGGAGCTTCTACAAGAGAAACAATAGTTTCCTTGCATACTCTTAAGGTGAAAATTTTTTTTTTAATTTTTTGTCAAAAGTATTAGAGTTAATTAAGAATAATTTTCAATAATAATTACTTGATAAAATTTTTAAGGCTTATTGGATAACACGAAATTAAGTTGGTATCATTTTTCGATGGACGTTGTGAGGGTGTTATAACTTTCCTCACTTGTAACTGAACTTTCGAACCCTATTCTGATTAATAGACCTGAACCTAATCTTTTAGGAACCCTTAGTCAAGCTTAGGTGTTCTTTGAAATGATAGATTCTTTAGGTGGCTAATTACACCTAAACAAAAAAAGATTAGCAGTGACTCCTTAAAGTCAATGTCTAGTTATAAATTTACGGATCTATATGTTATGACACACGATATTAAAATTTTATTAGATATGGGATAACCTATTTTAACAATCTCTCATCATGTGTAGGCGGTGATATAAGAAATCTATCACGTAACAGATTTGAAAAAAGATAATAGAAAAAAATCTTAACTCTGATATCATATTAAACATCCAACTTAATAATAAGTGAAGTGTCTCAATTTGAATATAAGACTACAAAAAATTTGATATTTATTAGATTTGGGATAACCTACTTTAATAAGGCTTCATCATGTATAGGCAGAAATACAAGAAGCCTATCACATGACAGATTTAGAAAATACAAGAAAAAAATCCTAAAAAATAATTTGAATATAAGACTACAGAAAATTTAATATCTATTAAATGTAGGATAACTCACTTTTGAAAAGGGCAAGAATAAAATTTTGGAGAACAACTTGAATATAAGATTACAAAAAATTTGATATTATTAGATATGGGATGACTACAAGAAATTTAACAATTATTAGATGTAGAATAATCCACTTTTGAAAAATAACTTGAATATAAGACTACATAAAATTTGATATTTATTAGATGTGGGATAACTCACTTTTGGAAAGGACAAAAAGAAATATGAGATGATTTTAGGAAATTTGATAGTTATTAGATGTGGGATAACTCATTTTTGAAAAAGGCAAAAAAAAAATCTTGGAAAACAACTTGAATATGATAGAAATCTAATATGTGACATATTTAGAAAAGACAACGGAAGAAAATCTTAGCCTGATACAATGTTAAGCATTCAACTTAAAACTAATTGATAATAAGTGAAGAGGTCCAACTTGAATATAAAATTATAGAATACTGAAAATTTATTAAATGTGAGATAAATTACTTTAATATTTAATTTTTTTATTTAAAATGTTCTTATTTTTTTAGTTTCAACGTTTATCATTTTGAAAAGCATTTTTAGAGATTAAATCATGTTAATAAATTAATGTTTTTTTCTTGTAATAAATATTTATTTAAAATTAATTAAGAATTAAACTTATTTGATAGTAATTTAAAATAAATTGAATTGCAACGTACTTATTAAAAACAAAAAATTGAATTTTAAAAAATTAATGTATGTAATTTAATCAAAATAAATTTTTTTTAAAATTAAAATTATATCAAATCAAAGTAAATATATTAATTAAAATATACATATTATATTTATTATAATATATAGATCCATAAATCTATAACTAGACTTAATAAATGGAGTCGTCACAAATCTTTTTTAATTATATGTGATTGACCACCTAATGAATTTATCATTTTAAGGAGCTTATAAGCTTGATTAAGGGTCCCTAAAATAATAGGTTCGGATCTACTAATCAGAATAAGGTTTGAGAGTTCGATTGTATGTAGAGAAAGTTATAGCACCCCCACATGCTCATACAAATGATAGTACCATTTATTTTAAATTTATCCTAAGGTCTTAATGCTAATGGTTTTAAATTTATATGTTTACATATTGAAAATAATTCTTAAGATTTTTTATTAATCTAGTAGAACTTTTAAAAATATTTTTTCACCTCAAGAATATTAAAGGATCCCATTTGTTTTCTTGAAGGGGCTTCGTCGACAGAAAAAATATTTAATTATTTTTATTTTTTATTTTTATTATTAAAAATATATCTAATTATTCCACAATTTGGATCAAATTAAAAATATTTTTTTTATTTTTTGAAAAAAATAATATGACAATTATTTTTCTTGAAATTTCATTTAAATTCTTCCATCATTTAGAATAAATTTTAAAAAATTTCTCATATAGAAATTTCTTAGAGAATTTACTATTTGAAATTTATAAGATTTTCATCTTTGGACAATTGTCAAATATTTTCAACCAAATTTTTTATTTGAAAAAGAATACAATTATTTTTATTGAAATTTCTTCTAAATTATTACATCATTTGGGACAAATTTAGAAAAATTTTTCATCTAAAAATTTCTTAAGAAATTTACCATTTGAAATTTCTAAGAATTTTATCCTTGTGTAATTAGTATTTTTTTCAAAATTTTAATTTTTTTATTTCTTAATTTTATTTCTTGTTTTGTTTGAAAATAAATATTAATTATTGTTATCGAAATTTTATCTAAATTATTCCACCACTTGGGATAAATTTAGATAAAATTCCTCATATAGAATTTTTATATAAATTTACCATTTGAAATTTTTGTAAATTTCATCATTTGATAATTAATAGTTATTCTCAAAAAATATTTTATTTTTTTATTTTTTTCAAATTTAATCATGCAAAAATACTAAAAAAATAAACAAACACATAAATAAAATACTAAATAAAATAAATAAAAAAACCAAAAAAATAGAATTTATTAGTTGGAGTGGCTCAGTTTCAGACATAAAAAGTGACTCAGAAACATGGCTTAGAGAAATCAACTCAACTTGGTAGGTTGCGCTTGGATTGGGTCAGCCCAAATAAAAACACATGGATCTTAAAGGTTTTTTAACGCCAAAATGATACCATTTTAATGGGGTATAAATAGTAAGAATTCGATCCTTAGATTTCTCTTTCTCCCTTTCTCTTTTCTTCCTCTTTCTCTCCCTCTCTCTTTAAACCCCCAAAAACATCGGTTGAATCTTTCACCAAATTTTAGGATTGTCATCGAAATCTGGGTAAGTTTATCGAAATTTGGTTGGAAGTTCACCGATTTTTGAAAAATGGATGCCAAAAGTTATGAATTTCGTTGAAAAGTAATCAAAAAATTCAAATTTTACCAAAAATTTAATTGGAATCTAGAATTTCCACAAAATTTTCAGAAAAAAACTTTTGTAATCCCAAAAAATTTCTCTAAAAACCCGTGACTATTTTCATGACTGCTTTTCTTAACTCTAATCTTTGTATTATGCTCTTTGTATTTTTGTGTGTCCCCTGCTCTGATCAAGGTGAGTATTTATAGAGTGTAATCAAAAGAGTTATTGATTAACTCTAACTCCCACTTTGATAAGATTTTTGCATGATCTCATAAAAATTAAATTCATCCACAATTCTGCAATCACCTATTCATGACAACCTCATTATTTTTTATTTCTTTTATTCTTATTATTATTTTATTATTAACACCTAATCTGATAAAGAAAAAAAAATCAAAGATATATCAAATAAAAAATGAAAGAAATTAAAGATCAATAAAAAACAGATAAATGAATAATCAGAAGATAAAAACCAAAAACATAAATAAAATAAATAAATAAATAAAATATAAAATACAATGATTAATTTGGTTGAATATATTAGATCTTATTGAACCAAGCTTAATTAACTTGGACCTAAATCAAATATGGTGTCTATAATATTAATTTTAAGCCCACAGTATAATTTAAAAAGTTTTGACATATAAGATCAATGATTCTCTTTCTTATTTCCCTCGTCTTCTTGCTCTTAGTTTCTGTAATTTGCAAAGCTGTTTGATTGAGGATTTCGCCTTATAGTCGATGCCTATAAGCTTAGAACCTAGCGTATCTCGGCCACCACCACTGAGACCACCACTTTTCTTACCGCTTTAGTTAATTGTTTTTGCCTTTTTCACTGTCAATGTAATTATATATTCGTGTATTTATGTTTTATTTTATATAAAAATTATATCTTATAATTTATATAAATATAATAATATAAAAATATATTTTTTTATTTTATTAAATTTATATATAATAATTATTAAAATATTATATTATATTATATATTTGTTTTATTTTCATATTTTATTTATAGGATATCACCTTATTGTTAAATTACGTAAGGAAGGGTAAGCTATCGATCGGGGTTTAGGTGATAAGGAAGCCAGAATAAACGACACCGCTTATGTTACAAGCAAACCTGTAGGGGCCTAGCAAAGTCAGGGACTCAGGGGCATAAGTTGGTGTTGTTGGACTTTGAAAGGCTCAATGGACTCAAACATGCCCAACAGACACGAATAGTCCATTAACGAAGGCGAGTACAATCATTTTTGGTACACGCAAAAAGCAGCCCTCAACTTCTTCACACGCCATGAATTGAAATCTTTCGCTAATAATAGCCAATAGCCCACCTCTCCTACTACTGTTCTACTAAACCTTCGGCTGTCTGATTTCAAACCTTCAACACCCTCCCCCCCCCCCAAAAAAAAAAAAATCAGAAATCCTTTTCTCTCTCTCTTTTTCTCAGTTGCAATAGCCGTCTCCCAATGCCAAGTAGATCAGCCGCCGGTGTCCGAACGGGTGTGAGAGTCGTCGTCGCTGGTGACCGCGGCACGGGTAAATCCAGCCTCATAGTCGCTGCAGCTTCCGACTCTTTCCCTGAGTACGTCTCGGCAGTTCTCCCCCCAACTCGCCTCCCCTCTGACTTCTACCCCGATGGCGTCCCCATCACCATTGTTGACACCTCCTCAAGGTATTGTTTTTGAACTTTTCTCAATCTTCTATGCATGTTAATGTTATTAATTGTTTTTTCTTTATCCAGCCGTACCGAAAATTTACAGCAACTTGTTTAAGTAGATGGTCAGTTTTGGGATTATGGTTCACTTTTTTAGAACGTGTTATCTTGTAGTATATTTTTCAAGAATTAAAAAAAGAAGTCTGAACAAGAAAACTTGTGATTTTATTTTTATATATGAAACAATAACGTGAGAATCGCTATTTTATTTAACAGTAAATAGTAAAGCAACCTTAAAAACAAAGTTTGATAAGTTGTGATATATTCTGATATTTTGCCATTGCTATTGACTTTTAGCATGGAGAGCAGAGTAAAACTTATTGATGAGTTGAAGCGAGCTGATGCTGTGGTATTAACATATGCTTGTGATCAACCCATGACACTCAGTCGTCTGACTACTTTTTGGCTTCCTGAGCTTCATAAATTAGAGGTTTGCAGTCGGCGTAATTCGTTGACATAAGATATATATATTTTTACGTTTACTCAGTAAATGACATTGCTTTCATTATGTTTATATCTTATGTCTCAATAGGTTAAGGCACCAGTGATTGTTGTTGGGTGCAAACTAGATTTACGAGATGAGCGTCAGCCCATGAACTTGGAACAAGTTATGGCACCAATCATGCAAAAGTTCAGGGAGATTGAGACCTGTATAGAATGTTCCTCTGCTACGCTAATTCAGGTTCCTTTTTTTTTGTTATTATTATTTTTGGGTTAACATCACATTCACATGATTACGAGCATTATCATTTTGTAGTCTCTGCACCATCTATCTTTATGAAGTTGTGGTATTCGCATTTAGCAGTTCACCTTTTAAGTGGTGGCTCTAGACTCTAGGGGGTACCAACAGACAAGCTTCCAGTCTTTCTTTTTGGTTCGAAACTATTTCCTATTTTATTATTTTTGACCAATTGATAAACGTGGTACCCATTTATATTGTCCTTAAGTTTGTTAAATCCATTTACTATTTGTGTCTTTTAGTAGCTATGATATTGAAAACTGAAATTAAGGTTTTTGTTTTCACATGCTCCAGGTCCCTGATGTGTTCTATTATGCTCAAAAGGCAGTTCTTCACCCGACAGCTCCACTATTTGATCATGAGAAACAATGTCTGAAACCACGATGTATCAGAGCATTGAAACGGATATTTATGCTTTGTGATCATGACATGGATGGAGCCCTTAGTGATGCAGAGTTGAATGAATTTCAGGTTTCTTTTTCTTTTCGTTTGTCCTTTTCCTAATGATGGCTACTCACTCTCTTTCTTCCTATGTTAAAAATTTGGAAAACTTTGACAAATGGTAAACAGGTTAAATGTTTTAATGCACCATTACAACCTGCTGAGATAGTGGTTGTAAAGAGTGTGGTGCAAGAGAGGATAAGAGGAGGAGTCAATGACCTTGGTCTTACTCTTGAAGGTTTCCTATTTCTTCATGCTCTTTTTATAGAAAAAGGGCGTGTTGAGACAGCTTGGGCTGTCTTGAGAAAGTTTGGATATGATGATGATTTAAAGCTTAGGGATGATATTCTTCCAGTTCCAACCAAGCATGCCCCTGATCAGGTAGCTCATAATGTTGACCTTAGACATAACTATTATTTATTACAAACTGGTATTCAAGTTTATTGGCTTGCTTCTCCTTGTATTTATATTGTTTAAGTTCCTATGCACTTGATTAAGCATGTGGTACTTGATCTTTTGGTTTTTTTAAGGTTGTTAATAGTGATTTGAAGATTGTTTTTTATCTCGCTTGTGAATGCTTGTTTTGAGACAAGATTTAGCATATTGATTTACTCCAAAGTATTCATCTTCTTTGTCATGCATAATGGATCTCAATATCAAGGAAACATAGGGCTTTATGCATATATCCCTAATCCTGAAGTTTTATCTAGTTTATGGCATCATGTTAATGAATCTTCCCCACCCACCTTCCCTTTTATTTATGTCCCGATAACAAATTTATTTGACTGTTGAATTATGTACTTCCTATAATTGTATCGTTCATAACTTCCTATTGGGGATTGCAATATACTTACTTCTAGATATCTTGTAGAGTGTGGAGCTGACAAATGAAGCTCTAGACTTTTTGCGTGGGATCTTCCAATTGTATGACAGTGACAATGTATGTGTTAATCTCTCAAATCCTTATCACTTATACAGAAATAAGATGCAAAGAATGTTTAGTGCAAGTTCTTTATTATATTTAGAGTTTGTATAATGCTAACTCATGGACAACCACTGAATTTCTGCTTTGATTTTGAGCTTACCAGGATGGATCCTTGCAACCTTCTGAGCTTGATGATATCTTTGTAACCGCTCCAGAAAGGTGAATGTAGTTACTGGATGTATCTTCTTTATTTATAGACTTGTATAGAGTTAACAGTGTTCTCTTAGCACATTTCTTTTGCTCCAATTATCAAAAAGTCACAACGCTTGAAGACTTGTTGAATTGATTCCAAGTAGCTTGTTGCAAATGGTGGAGATGGAACAGCTAATGTTGAGGTTGCAAAAGAATTAAACCTGAACCAAATTGATTAACCTTGGTTTGGTTCATTGGATTAAATCACATATGTTATTTTATTATTTCTATTATAAGCATTAGCATCTCTGTAGGTGTGCATACATAGACACACATACACTACATACATGCATGCATGCATATATAAATAATCATACTGTTTGCTTTTAATTTTTTCCTGCAAAAACCCTCAGCTTCTAAAGGTTTTATTAACAAATTCTTGTTTTGTTATAAGGCGAGTTAACTTTTAGACTTATCCTCCATTGCTGTTTATCCATTTTCCCCTTAATGATGATCAGGAATATATTTCTATTAACATATGTGTTCTCTGTAATTCAGTCCCTGGACTGTGGGCCCTTATGTAGATGCTGCAGAGAGAACATATCAAGGAAATTTGACTCTTAATGGGTTTTTATCTGAGGTTTGTTGTGCTTACTACTCCTTCCTTGATGCTTTACCATGGTATAAACACATGATGACATGTATATACCTATCTTGGCCATTTATGTGTGTTATGAGTTTAATTAATATCTGAAAATTTCTGCATTATTGGGCTGACAGCACAGAGTGTTAGGGATCCTACTCATACCATGAGTATTCTCTAAGGATTTCACAAGTTTATGTGCATTTGCTAATTTGCATTGGTAAACCATATTTCAGTAAGAATTGACCTCTGGGATGCAGTTAAGCAGCAGTCCCACTTATGTATCGTACATAGTCTGACTGAGTGGCTAATATTACTGGTTTGCTTTCTTATATTCTTTCACAGAATTGTGTCTCTATGAAAGTGCTTATTTTAGCACTTTACTACTATTGTCAATTAAACTTGAACGTCCATATTATTGCTTTGATCTGCATTTACAACAATATTGTTGTCTCCTCTATGAATATTTTGGGTATATCTGTTTCTTGCTTCCCTTGGTTCTGGGACTTAAGTCAGACTTCCAACACTGACCAGATTTATTTCTTAGAAAATATAAGAGATAGGTTTCTTTTGTTCTGCTGACATTAATTGGTATTTGAACATTTTTAATCTTGTCTATCTACTTCTTAACTGTAACTCTTACCATATCTATGGTTTGCAGTGGGCCATGATGACGAGTCTGGATCCAGCATGTAGTTTGGCTAATTTGATTTGCATTGGATATGGTGGAGATCCAACTTCAGCCCTTCGTGTTACTAGGAGAAGATCTGCAGATCGCAAGAAGCAACGGACAGAAAGAAACGTTTTTCACTGCTTTGTTTTTGGTCCTAAAAGATCTGGGAAGTCTGCTTTGATGAATTCATTTTTAGGAAGGTGTTGACTCCAGATCTATGTGATCATTTGATGTTGATCTTGCTAGTTTCATCTACAGCTTCTTTGGTTCATCTAGTAAAATTATACTATTGTTTTTTGTCATTTCATAGTCTAGATACTATGACTTCATTTATTAGAATAATATTTGAACTGCAGGCCTTTCTCAAGCAACTATACTCCAACAAATGCTGTACATTATGCAACGAACATGGTTGAACAGATTGGGGTGAGTAATAACTGTACATATGCCATATGTCCGGGTATTTTCATGGAACTCGCTTTTTATCCTCTTTCTTTTCTATCTCCCGATGTTTCCCCCTTAGATCATGGACCATGAATATGGTAGTAAAATCTTTGTTCGGATGACTGTAATGTCCTTGTAAAAATAAACTAAGTTTTTATTTTCTTTTTGTTATCAATTTTCTGATTCCTGTGCATTGAAAACATGCCTGTTCATTTCTGATGAGAAGTTTTGGATTTGATGTGGCAATCTTTGTGACCCTATTGTCTTTACAGGGTACTCAGAAAACCCTTATTTTGCAAGAGATACCAGAAGATGGAGTTAAGAAATTCCTGTTCAATAAGGAATGTTTGGCAGCCTGTGATGTATCTGTATTTTTGTATGACAGGTAAAGTTAAACAATATTTAATTTGTCTGAATTAAACAACATTAGAATATCATGGTGAATATGCTATAGCTTACGTATAACTAGTGGTTATGAACCTCTTTCAATTAGCATTTTAGTGGTTTTTAATGCCCTTTATACTCATCCTACTTTCCCCCTTTTACCTGCTTCTATCTTGTGCTCAATCTACAAACCTGTGGATATCTGGAAATTGAAGAATAATTGGCGTACCTTGAAGGGCTGTGGAAATCTGCTGATTTATCAGTAAATGGTCTCTTATCATACATGACATTATATTCCTATTGCCAGTTCAGATGAATATTCATGGAAAAGATCAAGAGAATTGCTTCTGGAAGTTGCTAGGCAGGGAGAGGAATGTGGTTATGGGGTGCCTTGCCTCCTCATTGCAGCAAAGGATGACTTAGATCCATATCCAATGGCACTGCAAAACTCTGCAAGAGTATTTATCTTATCATTGTCTGCTTTGTTTGTCCAAATCCTACAAAACTGTGATGATAAATGAGATATTGTGCTAATTTCAATTTTGTTTTTCAGGTTACTCAGCAGTTGGGAATGGAAGCTCCATTTCATGTAAGCGTGAAATTAAGAGATTCCAAAAATGTATTTTCTAAAATCATAAGTGCAGCAGAACACCCTCATATGAGCATTCCTGAAACTGAGAAAGGGAAGAAAAGGAGGCAATATCGCCGGCTCGTTAATAGCTCACTTATATTTGTTTCACGTTAGTATTATGTCACTTGCCCATGCACCTCTTTACTTCCAACAGAAATGAACCTTATATAATAGTTGCTTCACATTTTACTTGTTCATGATTGGGTTCCTGTTTAAATTACAGTTGGAGCTGCTGTTGCTGTTGTTGGACTGGCAGCTTATCGTGCTTATGCTGCAAGGAAGAATACTTGAAAGATGGTCCATTTGTTCATCAGCTGCCATTGCTTTTTTGCTGCATTTGCAACTCAAATAAATCGTAAGTACATGTATCCTTGATTGGATTTTCAAACTGAAGCCTGTATATAATTTGTTGGAATTATTTCAGCAAGGCTGGAGGTAATCTTTTCTACTTTCACTTATCTTGAACCAAATAATTTACCTTTTATTGAAGGTTTTTTTTTTTTTTTTGTTGTCTACTAAAATATTTGTAAAACTTCATGCAGTTTTGTATCAATTTCCATGGTGGCATTTCATGCCAATTATCAGTTATGGTAGGAACTGTTATCCTTGAAAGTGTGATTGTTTATATTGACTTGTGGTTGAGGCATAGCCTAATGGCAGCAACACCTCGCTCGGAATTATGATTACTAGCTCAAATTCTCCCCCTCCAAAACTTTTAATTGGCTTGTATTGTTTAACGAGGATGAGTACAAGGCAGTTTTTTTAAGGCATCTAGTGTTTGGAAGGAGCAATGTTTGCATCTTTGCCTTTAGATACCTGTTTCCTTAGATGAATGGTGATCTGCCGGTTGCGGTTTTTTACCTAGTTATGGTTACTCCAAAACAGCATTTTGGGTAGGAATGAACTGAAAAAGGTAGGAATCGAATTGAAATAATCGGATACTTTTTTTTTTCAGTCAGTTATCCTCAACCTTATTCATGGTAGTATACATTAGTAATGACTGATCATCCTGACGAAAGACAGGTGTTGGGCTGTTTGGCAAAGAATGCTGGTGAGGAAAAGACTTCTTCTTGCTGTCTTCAACTTCTTGTCTAGTGTTAAAAAGGTTTAAGAAGACGCATAAGACATATAAGGTGGAAGTCTTAACCCCACCGTCCTCGTACTTTATCCTGTGGACCAAACAAGAAAAAAAAATCTTCCCGTTCATTGTTCATTTCAGCCCAAGAAAGGCACTTTGCCAAACGAAAAGTTATGCTATTAATTTAGTCGAGTTCTCTTTATTTTTGCACATATATCTTGGAAGTATGAACATTAATTTTTGTGACCAAAGATTGCTAAGTGGATTTTGGAATACCAAATGTGGCGTAGGCATGTACACGGTTAAAGGTCTTTGTTTTGGGATTATAGCGTTATTAAAAAGTAAATAATAAATAAAGGAAAAAGTTTCATTGGTTTAATGTATGTTATTTTTAATTAAAAAAAAAACAAATAGTAAAAAATATCAATAAAGGGTAGTCTTAATTCAATCGTGATGAATGAATTCGGTCATGTTTTGGTTAGTGAAAACTCGAGTCTGGATTAAAACCGAATTGATTATTTAAAAAATAGTAACAAATGGAAAAGAAAAGGTAACTAGTTTGCAAAGAGATTAACTTTTTCTTTTGAAGTAAAATCGAAATAGACTCGGCAATCTTTGGTCAGTAAATTTATATATTTCTTCAATGCATGTCTCTCTGATTTGAAATCCAAAAAAAAAAAAAAAACCTTTTTCTCACTACTTTCCTCTTTGGACAAAAGAAACAAAGACGAGAAATCTATACTTTGTCAAAAATTAAGGTAAATTTCATGATGTCCCATAATTTCTGGTCTCCTATGTGGTCAAAAATATAATAATAAAAGAAAGGAAGAAGCGAATGAATGGGAAATCTGGGAGGAGATGCGGTATCCCGAGTGTTCTCTACTTTGTCATAAAAAGGGGGGAGGGTTTGATGTGAAAGGGTAGGATTCTGTAAAAATAAAGACGGAGAAGAAAGAGTTAACAAAAAGATCATATTTGATAGTGTAATATTATTGGCGTTGCCATCACTCCCAGTAAGAAACTTGGTAGGCTCCAGTCTCTTTCTTTCTCTCTTTTTCCACTACGGTCAACCAGAGCCTGCAGGCTTTTCTTTCCTCCTATGCAAAGGTGAAAAACAAATGTCTGAGCTAGACTCTATATTTTCTGTCGCCATGCTTGTCGATGGTGTTTCTTCTCTATATTCATGGCTGTATAGTCATCTTTTGTCTTCTCCTGGCCTCAATGAAACAAAATCTTCTCTATCACCTATAGGCTCACGTGTGTAACACCATTGCAATTTGCAACTTTTCTTGTTTGTTTTCATATCTCTAATTTGTAGGTTTATATATATATATATATATATATATATTATATAAAATACAGTTAGAAAAATGTTAATTGGATCAGGCTCCTCTCCAGTCCAATGTCCATCATGGAGATTTTTTCATGCGTAGAAAAAACCAATCAATGGTCCTAAATGCAGCATATTAGATTTTATAGATTTTCGTTTTATAGATGTTTCTATATACTAGCTTGATATCGAAACATGTTAATCAAATCCTTTTTTAATCGTTTTCAAGGATTAATCATATACATATAATCATGAAATTAAAGATAATTTGTTAAGCAAGTGTGAAACATGGACGGTTGTGATTCAGTGAAGCAATTATACATAATTGACGTTAACAATCTATGATCAATGCGAGTGGGTCCTGTCTAATAACCAAAGTGAAGACATACTACTAGAAGCATATGCTCTTTCAATGGTTTTTTTTTTACCAGATTAAAGTGAAAAAGGAAAAAAAAAAGTTGAAACTAAGAACTGTTGGAAAGAAGACAAGAAATGTAATCATTCCAAGATGCTGTAGTATCCGAACAGAGGAGCAGAGGCTGATATCCAGAATCTAATGGTAACAGAATTATATGGCGTGGGGTCCTGTTTTGGATACCCTCATAGATCCTCTGAAAATCCCCATTTCCACACTTGTCAATCCAACAGATAAGACGCATACAGAAAAGCCATGCCTGACGGCCCAACGATCTTCCCTCACCCTGCCCTGCTTCTCTTCTCTTATTTATTACTGCTACGATTAGTTTTTTTCTCTCAAAATTATCCCTGAATTATGAAATATCTGAAAAAAGAAAAAAGAATTGGAAATTAAATTTGTTCAAATAGTGGAGCTACGCATTTCCCCTTTGCTAGCCCCTAAGCTATACCAATGGTACATGCACCTCGTTTTGCTCTAGAGTTTTCATTTAATTTAATGCATTTGTTTTGCATGGATATATATCAACCCTTTATCTTTCACGTAAAAAAGTATATCCACTCAATTAAGTAGTGGCATTTTTCAGTTTCTCGTTAACCTATGAAAGATTAAAAGAAAACTTAATAAGCTTCATAAAAATCAAAACAAACAGCTATCACCATCGTCGACACGACCCTAGCCAGCACATAACAAAAAGATAAGCACCAAAAAAAAAAAAAAAAACTCCGGGTGGCCTTTGGTTGTAACCGCTGTTTTTATATGTATGGGCCCTTTCAGGGACGCTTATGGTTCTCATTTTCTTTGAATTCTCTCTCTTATTTAAGCTTCTAATATTCCATTCAAAATCCCCTAGGAAACTGTCAATGGAAAGTTTGAATTTCTTGTTTATCAACTTAATTATAATAACAATTATTTAAGGTATTTAATAGTCAAAAGGATATAATAATTTTTTTTTTTAGAAGTCTTTGGCATGCAACTTGAGATATTTCTATTATTTATGTTGACTTAATATATTAGGTTAATTTGACATGCTCAATGTCACATCAGCTTGGCACTATCTTTATTATTCCTTGATGGTTCTTTATTGCTCACCTATAAATATAAAGGCCTAAGCACCACTAAAGTAAATTGATCTTAGTCCCATTTCTTCTTTTCTACTTCTTTTTTCGACCTCATTTGCTTGACTTATGTGTCATAGTGCAAACGTAAAAAACACACATTGCCTTTGCTTTTTATCATCTTTTTCTTTTATTTTTTTAGGAACGCCTTAAGGTTAGAGCTCGGCACAAACATTTGGTGCACCAGGTGGGGGAGCTTTTTTCACACATTAACCTAGCACAAAGCAATGCTGCAAAAAAAAAAAAAAAAAACCTTAGAGGAAGGAGGATGATTGTTTCAACTGGAACAGAAACCTATCATAGCCAACATTCCGTCTGACCTGCCTAACCATAGGTGGGACCGACCATGGAACAATTCCAAGGTTTGACCGAACAGAGATAGGCCTTCAAGTAGATGTTACAAACCATGACCATATTGCAAGTTTCAAAAGTGCTTGACCTAATCACTTCTAGCTAATGAGCCATTGTTAGACAACGTAGCCATGATGAGGTGAAAGTTTCCTCAGTCTCTAGAGAAGAGGAGCACACCAGCCCAATCTATCAATACCCCAGCCATAACTCAATATATGCTACGACCCAAAAATCTAAACAAACAAACCCTGAACCCCAGCCAAATAGAGATTTAAAAGCATGGATGCAAGCCATGAAAAAAGAGCTAAAAACGAAAGCAGTAGCCTTTGAGGATGAGCTTAAGTTCCTGAAAATCTCGCCATTCACTAAAGAAATTGACAGAACCATGTCTTTTAAAAGATTTAAAATGTTGACCTTGGAAATATATGATGGTACTTTTGACCTTTTCGATCATTTGAAACTTTATAGGACTAACATAATGATGTAGGGCATAGAAAAAACTCTGATTTGCAAAGGCTTGGCTTTTATATTGAAGGGCCTAGCTTGGTCTTGATACAACAACCTAGAATTGAGGTTAATCATGACGTTCAAGGAGCTTAGCCATTTTTTTATCTCAATTTGTCAGCAGTCAAAAAGTGAAGAAGATAACTTTGAGCTTAATGTCGATCCTTCAAGGTCAGAATGAACCTCTGAAGAGCTACGTTATGCGTTTTAATGCCAAAGCTCTATAGGTTAAAGATTTAGAGCAAACGAATGCTATAGCCATCAACAAATAGTATCACCTAAAGTTAACTTTGTGGCTAGAACCATCCAAAACTTTGGTTGATGTCCTATTGATAGTGAGAAATACATAAATACGAAAGCTATAATGAAAACTAATTGAGATGAAAGAGGCTCATCTCCTCTCATCAATTGTAAAAAAAGCAAGGATTTTCCCAATAGGGAGACAACAGAGGACTAAAAGTCTTGGTAAAAAAAAAAAGCTACATTGTATTGAATAACTTTTAAGAGAGGATTTTGATACAAATTGAAAGAAATTCTGACCTCAAATAGCTAAAGCCACTAAAATAAAATACAATGAGGGATCTGACTAAAAAATGTACCTTTCACAAGCACATAAGCCATAACATTGAAGATTGTGTCGACTTAAAAAATGAGATTAAAGCTTTGATAAGGAGATGTCAGTTGAGAAAGTTTGTAAAATAGTGGAGATAAGGCCAGCCCATAACAAATTATAGATAATACCAAAAAGAGCCCACTCAGAACAGAGAAAAAAGACTAGAAAATGAAAAAATAAAAGACTAAAAAGATAATGTGAGATAAAAAGAAAGCCAAACTGATAATAACAAGCTAATTATCAGAATGATTAATGTGATCATTGGAGGTAGCTCTACCTCAGCTAAAAGGAAATCTAACCCAAATATGGTTATGGTAGTGGGTACCATGATAAAGAGAGAAAAATATTGAAGATATGAGTTGATCTCATTCAGCCTGAAAGACCTTGAAGAAATCCAGCACCCCCACGATGATGCTATAATGATTATGATCGTAGTGTACAACTTTGTAGTTAAGAGAATCATGTTCAACAATGAAAACTTGACTGACGTCATGTACTATGACACCATGAAAAAGATGAGAATTATTGAAGATTAATTGTAGCTGATTAGCATAACATTGGTGCGATTTAGGAATAAATAGGTGCCTTTGAAAAGAGCAATCAAACTACTGATCTTCTTGGGGATATAACTCAAAACAATTATCTCAGTTATAGAATTTATGGTAGTGAACATTCTATAGGCCTACAACATGATATTGGGCTGATCTAACCAATCTATTATACGGTTTATAGGCTTAGTTTTTCATTTAAAAGTTAAATTTTCAACACCCAATAGTGTTGAAGAGGTTAAGGGAGACCAGTCCAAGGCACATCAGTGTTACATCACAATAATGAAAGGAAAGAATAAGAAGCAGACTGACTGTTCAACTGAGAATGAAAGCATTGAGGAGGGACAATCAATGAAAGCCAACTAAAAGTAGAAAACCACAAGTTAGAACATAAAATGTAAGATCATCTTGATAGAAGTATGCTTTTAAGTCACTTCGAGCTCTTAAACTTTAACCAAAAAAACTTTTTTTCTATTTTTTAAATTTTTTGAGGTAACTTCAAAGATGATCAAGCTTTTAAGTCAGTGTGAACAACCATATGTTATTTGGATCAAACTAATACGTCGGTTAAAATACAATATGAAATAAAAAACACATATTAATTTCATTACATACATATTTAATAAGTTATCCATAATATACCGATCATCACGTTGATATTTGTTTTTGCAAGAAATGACCTTGACCTAATTGAACAAAAAAAGATAATTGATTAGAGGTCAGACTCGGATGAAAAT